TTCCGTTGTGTTGGATAATATTACCCAACACTGTCTGTTTTAAGTGAAAGGCGCAGCATACAAATGATAATGCATCAGCGATGTCACAGTGATGTACAAATAATGATATGTGGGATGTGTGTGCATTTCCACATGAGTCATTCACAGAGGAACAGTGTTTAAAACTCTAAACCCTGCATCTCAGGTTGAGTTTACATCTATGATACACTGTTTATTCTAAATTCCATCTTTGGAAAACAGTCACGCAACAAACAAAGATCGACTTGAGGGAACTTCATTGAACACAGCATGCTGTAGATGGCAGCGGGGGAGCGTGAGTGTGGGGGAGTTAGGATATCTTTGTAAAGTTTACTCCCTCACAGTATGGACCTGCTTATTTGTGATGTAAACACACACATTTCCAACCATAGAGTAGAGTTTCTTCCGTCTACTCAGGACAAACAGGGAGAAAGTCTTCTTGATACTCTGCAACCTCAGAGAAAAAAACAGAAGTTTGAATTCTGTGGAGTTTCACATGGTGGCCTAAAAACCACTAAATTCCTCTTCGGCTGCGTCCTGTCACTCAAGTTCTCCAGATCCACATCCACTGGCCCTGCTTTGATTTGTATTGCCTCAGCACTGACTGGTTGGCCATCTTTTTTCATTCCAAAGGGATGATTAAGACTGTTGGTCAAACAAACGCATGGCTTTCAAAATCTTTAAACCATAATTAATACAATCGCCAACACAGGGTTGACACAGTATGCTTAACTTTAACACTGGTGTCAGAGGGAATTAACAATGTGGGTTATTGTTTTTTTTTAGGAAAATGCATTTGCAAATCAAATGATTGAGCAAAATTTTCTCTTTTGCTTAGAATGAAATATTTGTACTAAATGTCCTAGAGAAATTACAGTATACATTTACAGTATAAATGCATATATATGTACACATATTTGTAATAGCTATAGAAAAAATAATATATAAAATATACATAAGTACAGTTAGTAATGTACATAATAAGCTCTTTAAATTGGAGCAAATTAGACCTGTTTGTTCAGACATTTCCATTTTGGACTGTTTTATGTGTATACAATATTTAGGTGTCATGTTTGGTTCATGTACAATTCTTGACTTCCTGCGCATGATCTCCCAGAACTTTCTGCAGGTTAATGTTTTATCCAGGGGAACTCTCTGGAACCGTGATTGTTCCCTGCCGTCTTCACAGCAGAAGCTACAGGTCCAAAAATGAACTGCTGGAACAGTAATGTGTCTGAAAAGCTCCTTGGAGGGCTTTGAATGTGTTCTTTAGCTGTAAACCCTGCTCTGTTTCATCCTGCCCCTGACTTACTTGGCCGTGAGTTGTGGAAAGTAGCATCTCCATGGGCAGTAAGCTTCAGCATGCACAGTTTGTGTTTGCGGAACTTTTTCCATGAAGTAGCTGATTTCGGACATTGACAGAGAACAAGAGATGGTATAGTACAATGAGAACGGAGGCTTCAGACGAAACATCAGGAGGCTTCCAACCAGATGTTTGGTTCTACTGCACTCTATAGCTTCCCAGTTGGTTCAGTGTTTTGAGAGAAAGGCAGAACACTCCCTTATACTGTTTTGTAGCTTAGGAACCCATGTGCTCTTGAGGGAAACTTTTGGACAGAACAATACTAAAAAGAAGAAGAGTTGAGAGAGAACTGAAAAGGCTTTGTGCGTGCTTCCTTCAGATCTACTTCATAACAGGGTTGGGGAAAGTACTATAATTAGGTCTAAAGGGATGTTCCTTGACATCAGTGGTTAAATTTGTACGTTTGTTTGAGGTGAAAAGCCTTTTAAGAGCATCGGGCCACTGGATCGGCACACTTTTTTGAATATGAGTATGAGTTGAATTAAGAAACGATTCTGGTACTGATGCCATGTGTATTGGTAAACACCTATGTAGGAATCCATCCACTTAGAGGCTGTCACATCTGGTTTGTTACAAGTTTTTACCAAGAAATTTTCATTCCCTTTTTTCCCACCATCAATAATAAAGTAATACATCCCTTAAAAAGCTGTTGACATTTCATGGTTTCTGCTTAGGAGTTTGTGTCCCTGGAAAAGCTGCCTAAATACCTTGAAATTGTGGAGTGTGTGTTACAAATACGTATAAGTAAATAAGTAGGATTAAAATAAAATGTTTGGCGATTAACAAACCTGATTTATCTACAATCCGTCCTCGTCTGTTGAATGATTAAGTAAAGAATTAGTCAAATAAAAGCACCAGGGATCATGAAGGCTTGGAGGTCTCCAACCTGACAACATTATGATTGTGAGTTGGTGGTAGAACCTGGATTCTGATGGGGTTGTGCTATTTGCTTCCTCAAGCCTGAGCCCAGAGGACTTGTACAGCTGCAGAAAGGCTTCTGTTGTAGCCTTAGGAGACGGCAGTATATCGCACACAAACAGATAATCCTGGGGTGATTGAGGTAATTGCTTGCAGTTGTGGTCGAGTGTTGGTGAAGGCCCTGAAAAGGTGATGAATGTGCAGCTCCTGTTCAGTATTGATTTCAGGCTGTGCTTCACAGTGGGGCTCTGTGTGGTTTATATGTCCTGGTGGAGGGAAAGGGATTAGGATTTCAAAACCTAATTCTTCACACAGTTTAGTCTTCCTCTGGGACACTGCCTCTTCTTCGACAGTGAGCTAAACATCTACAGGCCAATTTTGGTTAGAAGGAAAGCATTGGTCTAGAAACATGAACGAGAAGAGGACAGCTCCTAAACTGCACTGGCACACTGCCTTCATTCAGAGCAGCAGACCTTAATCTTAATTGTAGGTTTCTCTCTGATCTATCATTTGTCTTACAAGATGACAGTGGAGATTCCTGAGCTGTGAGTAAGTGCCCACAATACTGAATGAAACAATTCTGGCTATAACGCTACATGTTTATGGAGAACTTTTGGACGGTGCGACGACTGAAAAAAACCTTATCTTTTTATCCTGTCAGTTTCTGACGGACAGACAATGCTGCCAGGCAGTCAGGCTTTCAGAAAAGGTTGAGCTGGTCATTTTAATAGTTACTAAAAAAAATCCCACTTCATTTTCAAAATATTGAAAATCTAATTTTGCTTCTTACAGTCATTCAAAACACTGCAAACATTAGTACTATATAAAATTGTAACATGAGTATGGTTGTCCAAAAAGTCTCTAGTATAGAGTCCATACTAATGTTGACTGGATGGGTGTCCATGTGTGTCAAACATATCCACGGTGTGTAATTCACAATCCTAATTTTAATCCCAATTCTGTAGTTTTGTCAATTTTATGATCCACCTCTGAGCGTCCTGTTAAAGCACTAAACTCTTCAACAAGAGTTAATTTTCCTTGGCCTATAATTTAGACTTTTTTTTTATTATTTAGTTTTGAAAAGGTGCATGCCTTACCTTCTGTGCAGTTAATCACGTGTGGACACGTGGCAACAGCCAGAACTGAGGTCACATGTTGAGTGAAAAAATTAATTCATAATCGGAGGGCTTTTGCAGGTCTGTGATCTTTTTATAGAGGTGCTGGTTTTATGTGTATATTAAAGCAAAAACACTGTCTTTGTGTGGTCTGTGGTTGCTCCGTGTTAAAAGAAGAAAAGAGACCACTACTAGACGTCTGCTGAAACTAAAACTATATATTTGTATGTAAGACTTAAAAATAGACATTTGTTTATAGGATAGGGTCGACGTGTGAATGTGCAGCAAACACACGCAGGAGCAGATCAGTACTGTAGTGTGCTTCATTTTGTTTTTCAGAGTGGCAGAGAGTGGCACTCTCTGGGTCACACACAAGACAGTTCAATTATACTGATGAACATATTCTACATTACCACAATTACCTTCTAACTACTGCTTAGTTAATAAACCTTTTCGTCATAAATGTACATTGCTGTCACACAGACCTCTTGAGAATAGAGCTGTAGAGCCTTGGAGTGTCTGTGTCCTTCTCTATGAATGCCCCCTTTCACCATTCATGAATGCATCCAAACATTATCCACCACTTATCCTTTAGGTTTTGTAGAAGGAGTTGGATACAATCCTGGAGACATCATAGTTGGACAAGAAAATAAGTGTTCTGAAAAAAAGTTATGGTTGACTCTAAAGAAGTACACTGTTTTAAAAGATAAAGCAAAGTCTTTTGTTTAGGCTTTTATCATTAAAAACCTTTACCAACTTAAAGATTGTCTGTGTTAAACCCAGTCACAGTCTTCAGTGTTTCTGAGCACAGTCTATAATTATCTGGGCTATAAAATTTTTTTTTCTTTCTCTAACTTAAGTAAAACATAAAGACGTTTTGCTCTATGACGTGCAGCAGTTAAGTGGTTAACTGAAAATCAACCAGTCGACCACAAATGGATTTCAGGAAACCTGGTGTACACAAGCTCTTGTCCTATTACGTAGTTGGGGCCATTATACATCCTGTAGTTTGGGACTGGATGGTTCAGCTGCTATGGGATGAGGTAACATAGGACCCCCACATTTGCTTACCACTGTAAAGACACCGGTTAGTCTGTGGTTGTTCCATGGCAGAAGCCTTCGTACTGCGTGTTATGACTGACTGAACACTGAGTGCCTTTTTAACCTAGTCCTAGTGTCAGTTCTACAGGGAGACGTTGTCAAATGGTAATGAAAGTGTAATGATTGTCTGATGGACCAACCTGTGTATTCACAACGTGGTTCTCATTCCGTTGATTGCGTTGATTCCGTTGTTTGAGCTGTGCTGGACTTAAAGACCAAAACAATGTGTTAAAAGAGAGTGCATTTCAAGGGCTTTTTAAAATATAACCAAAATCTGTTCTTTGGCTCAATTTGTATTTAAAGCCCAAAACTGAAAACTGAAGGAGAGTCTGTGAGAGATGAGCTCTGTGAGACTGGACCTCCTCTT